ATGCCCCCTAAAAAACTCATAAACTTCTATTATATCGTAAATGAATATGCATGAAATATACAGAGATGGTTGCATTCGAGGTAAACAAATTGTATTATACGTTCACAGTATGTGAGAGATGACGTCGTTGACGGGAATTCACAAAAACGATTACACGCCAAAAGATTGGCTTACTCAATCTTCTAATTATCATACGGTAGTAAATATCTCGTGTGAATCTCACGATGGGATATAATGGAATATATTTTATTTCTTTTTGCATGCTGAAGTATTTTTCTCGAATGACAAGCAATTACCTTTCACTCTCCTCGATTTTTCAAGGGAAGGAAACTTCATTTTTTATCTTGACGAGATAATACTTCCGATAGGTATTTCTCATGGAAAGTTCTAGTCATGGAAAGCTATGAGTCGGGTCATGCGTCTTACATTTATCATTAAATCGCAATATTTTACGTTAGAGATTTATATCTATATTTGTATTTTGTTTCTATTTTAAATTCAAATTTTATTTTTATAAAAATTTTTTTATTATTGTTTCTTTATTATTTACTTTACATTTATATGTCATCGCACATCGATCTGACCAATCGCATTTCTATCAAGAGAACCTTTAGAGTATCTTTAATACATAATTTCTCATATAATTCGCCGTTTATTTCTTTCATAAGTCACGATGCTGTAATTCGAATGTTTAAAAGTTAATGTACGGCTGTGATAATAGGGTTTAGCAATATCTTGTTAACATTTGTCAAAATTTTATACGGTTAATCAATCGAATCATTGTGTTGACTTTTGAAGTCGCTGCGCTAACACGCAAATGGAGAGTTCTCGATGTGCAGTATTACACACACATTTGTATCATAATTTGCTTTAGTGAGTCGAGATTGAAAGAGGCTGATGTGATTGATGCTGTTCTACGAACTCTTAAATGCATGAATTTGCAACTCGTATTCTCTATGCTTCTTGAATCTTTTTGAGTCCATTGGCTAGCCGAGAAAAATAGGAAGCAAAACTAAATGACGTGAGATCATCTCAAGACGATCCTCTTCAATCTCGATCTTCTTCGTGCGTTTGGTGTTAAAACAAATTCATACATGCAGGCAGGCAGGCACATTCTGTTTTGTTTAATTTCAATAAAATAAAAATATGCTGAAATGGAACATGCTGCTTTTATTTTTCTACGTTCAGTCTAGTTTAATTTACCTTGTAAGCCTACAAATTATTATATAATTAAAGCTGCGATTAAAAAATAATTAGTAAAATGCTATTTTGACAAAAATTTAATTTGAAGTTTGTATTTAATTCGACGAAATACTTAAAGGCGTTCATTATCAGTTAATATATTTAAATATACATATATTAATTAATAGGGTAAAAAGTCTTTGTATTTCGAAGTACTGTTTTTGCTTACCTGTATTCTAGCTACTGCTTTTATTATTTGCTGTTTTTGCACAAATGCATAAGCAAATAAGTCTAGACATTGCTAATGTAATTAAATAACTCGATTAAATGAATGCAATTTTTTTTTTACGATATTTAACCAGACATCTGCAGAATATCAAATCATTGCGTCACAGAAATTCTGCATCTTAATGTTTAAAATAAAGATTCTAATTAATAAAATTATTCATTTATTTTTACTGTTATCTTGACATAAAATTTCAAATTTACCGTTCATAATAAAAAGTGCAAAAATATTTAAATAACGTCTCTCATTCTAATTCTGTAAGAAAAAGCATCATTTATTTGAATTATTGTAGCATTCATTGCTATTATCATGATTTGACTTTTCAATTTTTTCTCGAGATCATAAGTCACGCTATCGACACGATATGGTAGCATGCGAACGACTAGGATAAGAGATAAATGTTGGATAAAATCTCTTATTGACTTATTATTAGTATTGTATATCTCTTTAAACCCGATTAATAAACAACTAATACAAGTTTTTTCTAATATTTTAATTTTATACCATAAGTAAAAGAAAAATCAGATTAAATTAAGACAAATTTCAAAAATCCAGTTCTTCTTTTGTAAATGTTTTATTTTTAATAAAAATAAGAGGAACACCGGCAAAAATGTTGCTAACATAATGTACATTATGGTTAATGTAACTTTCTACGTATCTTCGTCGAGATGCATTGCCCCTGCTCGAGGGATATCCCGAATTCGGGACTTCCCTCGAGCAGAGGAATTATTTGCTCAAATCATTTTTTTTTTTTTTTTTGCCATGAAACATCAATGATGCAAACGAGTTAGCACGTGGACCATTTTCTCATACGTACATTCCAACGCACGCACGCTGACAGACGCAACTATGCTAAGATCCCCTGCACGCATACCTGCGCACAGACGTCGCGTCGCGTCGGTCAGTCGAGCCTGTCGAGCTCGTCCGAAGGCCGCCGAGAGACTCGGCCTTATATAAAGTCGACCGGCCGATGGATCGTGTATTTATTCGCAGAACGTACGACGTCTTGGTACGTCTCGAGTCATCGAGCTCTTGAAGTTACGTTTTAGTCAGCATCGACCATTCAATCGATTTTTGGTCCCGCGATAATCGATGTGACATCTGTCACGTAAAAAGTGCAGAGTGTCAAGTGCCATTGAACAAAAAGTTTTTACACGCATTGAGCGAGTGAAACTCTCTGTGTGAAACGCGAGTCTCTTCAAAGATCAAAGCTCGTAGAGAGACTGATCATGTATACGAATCCGTTCAACCGCAAACACAGTACGATCCGTCAGATGCTAGATCGTCTGTTGGACCCGACGAAGAAGACCATTAAGAGATCGGAGAGCGTCTCGAGTTCCAGTAGCAACGACAGCTCGAAGGACAGCCACGGGTCTTTCGGCCGTTGCTACTCCTTGACGCATAGTCATCGAGGTAATCTTCCGTGGGGCAGGAAATAATCTTCTCGTGAGGAGAGTCCTTCCACATAGCTGAAGAGCAGTGTCCATGCCATGTCGATGCTTAAATCATGCGTATGATGTTCTCGATACGAGTTTTCCGCTTTTGCCTTATCGGCAGCAGCATCTGTATCTCACATCGTTCTGTATCTTTTTGGATGAAGTAAGCAACCGAGAGTAAAGACAGCACATTTGATCTCGTTTACGAACTGCATTTTGCTCGTTGAATGTGTGGCGACTCGTTTCTCGATCTACGCCAATGACACGATCAATAAGAAGAATGAGTCGGAAGATAAGTAACGGACGATAACGATTGCGTTGGAAAAATCGGAGAGAAACTCGAGGAACTTAAAGGCCATGGTCAAGACCGTGAAAGAAGCACAAGCGTTCGAGGCATTCGAAGACGGTTAATCGATTATACGATTTGATCGACAGCGAAGAAATGTTTCTGGGAATAATCGAGAAGAAGTTATTTCTTCCACTATCAAGAAGCAGCAGAAATTCTTTCTTCTCCTGGATTTTTTCATATTATCTATAAGTCATCTCTATAATCCGACAAGCGATTTAATTTTATTGTATCATTGACCATCCATAACGAATCCATAACGAATCCATGGTCGTGATTCTCTGCAGTGCCATAATTAGTTAGGGCCTAGGATCCATCAAAATGCTTAGGTTTATGAGAACTAGCAGAAAAGACGAGTGGACTTCTGTGTCGTTGGAGGGTAGCCGTCAATCTTAGGTCACTAGTCAAAGCCAGTATTAGCTATCGATTGTCATAGGTTCGACGTCACATCATACATCGACGTTATATCAATTTCGCATTTTTATATAATTTATTTCAATCGTTTTTTTGTATGATATAACTCAAATAAATGTTAAATATTTTTTAAAATATTTCTGTTTGATATCAGCGTCCTTATACCTCCCGTCTTCCGTTTATTGCGCTATTCAAATTGTTTATTAGAATTTCGATACTTTCAATTGTTTCGTCATTAATTACAGTTAGTTGTAACAGTTTACACTTGCATAGATATTTCGATTTAATGAAAAGGAAAAGTATTATGATACATTTTATAGTTGGATGTTATTATCGTCACGAAAGAGAAATCTGTCGACATCTAAATCTATAATCGTGCCGTTATTTCTTGAAGAAAATATTCAGATACTTTATAAATATTTATTTATTAATAATTAATAGAAATTTTTATAATCACGAATATTATCTTATTTTAATAATATTATGTATTTTAATACATATAATTATTTTGAAATTGTTTTAATTACTCTTTTAAATTATCATGAGTTATTTTTATGTTAAAAATATCTCCATTAAAATAGATTTTTATGTCCAGATACCTTATTGCACTATTACATATTTGAATCACGTTGATCACGTATAATTAACGAAAAGAAATCAGGAATAGTAAAATTAAAAGTAAACGAGAATATATATATATTGCAGAAATTATAAATTTGCGATATTTTCTTTGTTCTTAAACTTATTTTTTATTGCATTATATTACGTATTAAAAACGATACTTTTTGCCTAAATTGATTTTGCTTTTGTTATACTGCTTATTTGCATATATATTACTTTATCACACGTAGTTAATAATGCTACAATATAACATATAGTTAATAATTTGACTTAATCGTCAAGCCAGAACCTAGACAGTAATGTAATTTTTTCGTCTAATATATATACATATAATAGATTCGGTAAAGTCGAATTCGATTCTATATAATGTCAAAGTCAGTCTGTTTTCCCGTTATAAAATTAATATTGTACTAAATTATCATTATAGCATGATATGTAATATCGTTGAAGTATTTCAGTTGTAATCTTGTGTATGAAGATACGTGAAAATTTATATTGCAGGGTTTATATATAAGTACATTGGTTGCCATTATTTATCACGAGTCACCCCGTGATACGGTTGTCTTATTCCGCGAGAAGATTCTCCGAGGAAATGTTTTCATGAAAAAAATTGTTTCCGTACTTTTTCCTTTATTTTTAATTTAATTAATGTGCTATATATTTATTTTAATTTTCCGTTTTTACTTTATTCTAATAAAGTATTTTTCTTTTGCAGGCATCAAGACGCGACTATCTTCATCCGAGTCACATTTTTCTCGCTTCGTAACAATTTTCTTCGATTGTAAATATCAGCTTGATCACTTCGATCGGAAGTGGCGCAATTTTTCATGAGTTCAAAGTCCAATATGTGTCTCCGTAGGCGTTACATCTCTGATTCACATGCTGCGTAAAAATGTTCCGGTCGGCCTTAAGATAAAGATCAGGTAAGAATAGCAATAGAAGAAGGTAAAAGGAGGAAAAGAGACGGTTTGCTCTGGTTGGAGTTTGATCGAGATTCGAAGGATGGCAAAGAAAAAAATACATTTTGCGTTATCCGTTTAGATTGCGGAAAATAATTAAATAATTGATTACGATATATATAATGATAATGTTTGATTTGAAACCATCAGTACAATTAACAGGTCAATAAAAATATCCACGAATGAATTTTATTTTAAACCATAGATAAATGAAGATGTAAACGAAAAACGTTTACTCAATCGAACACATTAATTAAAGCTGTCTGGTCAGCTGCGATAACCTCATTACATTTTTATTCTTATATAACGTTATTTATTATTAAGTTATTAATTCACTATTCATGGTTTTTATAAAACTATAATAATGATTACATAATTTCATACGTAACAATAAAACTAGTTTACAAAGACAATAACAAAAATTAAAAAAATTTATTATTATTATGTATCTATCTTCTCTATTTTATTTTATTACTATGATGCAATCGTGGTATTACCTGCAATGCTGCATATTTGCATTACTGCCATGATGCTAATTGTAAGTAGAATATTCCAGAATTTATTTTTTTGAATCATAAGATAAGCATTACATATTATTATATTTTAAATAATTTTCTTTTGAATTACCATTATCTAAATGTGCTATAATATTTTACATAACTGAAGTACAAAAACATATTTTTTATTGCTTGCTTATTATTCGTGTAATTACATTTTAATCGAACAAACAAGTTTCTGTGCCGTTTTCGTAATTAAAAATATGTGTCAACGTGTTTTTCCTGAAGTGTATGCATCATTGGAAACGATCTGCTTATAGGTTGCAACGCAAAACTTGTTTCATAAAATTTTGAAGCAAGTGACGAGTAAAATTGCGAATTTATATTGTTAATTAATTCGATTGTGATATAAATTTCATGGATTATATTTAATTACATACATCATTTGCATGCGTGAATGATTTTATCGCGCGTCTAAAATTTAGAATATGAAATGATGAAAAATAAAACCATAGCTATGGACAATTTATCTTCTTACGACAAAGTTAGCGACGAATTTATTTATCGTTATGGCAAGAAGAAGATGATTTGTTCAAGAATCATTATATAGAGGAATTTATAGATTGTAACGAAATTTTCTTTCAAAAAAAGAAAAATTTTGTTTTTAAGGAAAAATTTTCTTTGTTTCACAAAATTATTTATCCTTTTTTTTTAATGTTTCCGAGTTTTTTAAGACTTCAACGTCTGGAAATACGAATACACGGGTTATTCCCAAGATAATTTGGAAAGAGAGATATCCAGGTTAACTCTTGGGTTATACCGAGTTATTATTTATATAAATAAGATGAAAGATAAGTAGCCGGATGTCATACATAATAAGTTATTTTGCTTAATGACAGTAATATACAGGCTATTAAAAAAAACCATTCGATATTTATGTGGTAGATAGAACATACTGAGTAAAAAAGCCTTAGTAAACATAGGTCGAAAGCTCAACTGTTTCTGAGATATAAACATTTTTGTATGTTAGCATCATGATTGACTTACTGGCTTCTACGTGTCGCATGCGATGTTTATCTCAGTGTTTATAAACCGCGTTCTGAATGTCCTTATTCAATTTCCATACGTACTTCATAATAGAAAATTTCACCGGCAATCAGTCAGTTGTCATGAACCGGCGATTGCGGACCTTTGCGATTTGGTGATTACACAGTTACAAAGTATCGTGCTGAAAATGTCGGCGTATTACGATATGCATAAGATATGCATATTCTTCGCCGATAAATGACTTAGAAGAATTACGTAACCGAATCGGCGTGCTTGTTAAATAATTCGACAGAGATTTAGAATTTTCGAGAGAGTTCGCGATTCTGTAAGAAGAAGTGTGTATGAAAATGGAAAGAGGACATGTGGAACACCTTCTGTAAACATCGAGATAAAGATTTAGACAGATTATCTTCTCACGTCGCATACGACACGTAAAAGCCAGTAAGTCAATCATGATGCTAACATACAAAAATGTTTATATCTCAGAAATAGTTGAGCTTTCGACCTATGTTTAATAAGGTTTTTTTACTCAGTATGGCGTGTCCTATCTACTATATAAATATTGAATGTTTTTTTTAACACCCTGTATATATATATATATACAGTATACTTCCGCCCTCCCTCCTCCGCATAGACATACAATGGATATATTACATTAAAGCAAAATTTGTCAGAACTTGTTGAAATATGTTGAAAGATTCTCGAATATTTATTTTTGTCAAGTGTCTTTACTTATGTATCGTATATTAAGTATCATCTTGCATTTGCATCTTTCTAGATTATACACAATAAATATGTAATATTAAAATGCCCAATATATTTCGTGATTTTAATTATATTTCATCCATAAAGTTAAGCCAATAAATACAAATATGTATATAAAAAATATGCCATATATATATACATATGTACATAAGAAAAGACACTTGACAAAAATAAATATTCGAGAATCTTTCAACGTATTTCAACAAGTTCTGACAAATTTTGCTTTAATGTAATATATTCATTGTATGTCTATGCGGAGGAGGGAGGGCGGAAGTATACTGTGAAGAAAATGATTTATTATAAAAATAATATATGTATAAAAATAATTTATTATTAGCAGAAGTTAGGCTCCATATATAGTCGCTCATTGATATTTATAGCTTACGGTACCATATCGTTGATAATCGAATAAATTATTTATGATTCTCAAAGCATTATTTTTTGCAACTACTTTTATACCACGTATTCAATGTTGCTAAAATTAAATTAAAATCAATTAATATTCACGGCATAGTGTCTTCTTTTATGTTGTCCTCTTAAAGTCCGCATACGTACTAACCGTACATTTTCACTCTGATGTGTCTCGTTCGTAATTCATGATCTAATAATCAAAATTGATCGAGAAATTCAGTTCGGAAAACTTTATCTCTTCTTTGTTTGTCGATAGAAAAAAAGTCTGGTAATATATAGCATTTGTATTTAATAGGATTTTATTAAAATTTTTATAGAAAAAGTTTGAGCGTCATTATCGAAAACTGCACTGATTATTGTCTTGACAATATTTTTCTCTCTTTATTTCTTTCTCTTTGATTATCTCTGAATTAAGATTATTATCTTTTTAATTTATCGAGATTTCATAATTTGTTTTGTATCATTAGCTAACTTATATTTATTATATACAAATAACAATTTTTTTTTAGACAAAATATTTTATTTTATAATGGGAAAATAGTAGAATTTATGATTGTTGAGTAAAGAAGAGATTATACACTTATATATGTAACATGCGCGATTGAAATATGCGACGATCAGTTATCTATAATTTTTAGAGAATTTTTTGAAACATTTGATGACGTTTAATAATGATGAATAATTATGCTATATATTTAACTATATACAATTATGTAATATGCTCTTATATAACAAACAAAAATTACAATCCGTCTTAAATAATTTATAAGGGATTTTCTCGAACATCGATTACACATTTTAATAATAGCGTGTGTCATTTAGATGTGTGAATGTGAAGAAAAAAATCTGAAGTTACGCTGTTATTAAAATATGTAATCGATCATTCGAGAGAGAGAGAGAGATAGAGAGAGAGAGAGAGAAGAATCTTATCTAAGAATAGCATACTTCAGATGGATATATATGCACACACACATTTAATTATTTTTGTGTTTTAACGTAAACGTTCTTAATAATTAATTTATATTGCATTTTTCACTTTGAATGTATTCAATCTATTTACGAAATTGTTTATTCTGCATAATGCAAATATCGTAACTAAACTTGTCTATTTTTCTCTCGTAAAGTTTTTTTGGAACTTACATTTTCATTCACGCATAACAAATTATGAGAGATTATTTAAAAACCACGAATATTATATCATATGCTGGAAAAAAAGATATTTTTAGTCATATTGCATACATGAAGAATACAAGAATTAAATCCTTTTCTCTATAATTCTCGTTTATTTTTATTACATATCGCAGAAATTATTTTTAGGCATTTTTTTATATATATATTGATTTAAACGCAAGGTCTTTCATACACCAGACATTTTCATTTTATATCTACTTTTGTCTTTGATATAGTCGCGGGGAGCAGAATAAGTATACTTTTGCCGTAGCATATTGCTGCTTTCTTTGTTTCCCAATTTCTTTAACTTGACATACATTGAACAAACAAATGCAAATTGTATTATTTTTACTTTTATTGCTTTGTGCAACGATGAATAGCCTACATTAATGTTCACAAAATTATATCTCGTGCAGAAAACATTACTGTTTAGAATCTGTTATGTTGAAAGTTTCAGATAATAAGTAATCGGAAAACCAGATATTGATCACTTTAATGAGGAGATATTTATCACGGATAGAATAACGGTAAATTTCTTAACGATATGTGTGTTTGCAAAGCGAGAAGAGATCGGTGATGTTTGCATAAATATAAATGAAGATCCTGGAGAAAGAACTCGGTTATATGTACTTTTTTTAAGCGCCAGTCCGACTTCTCTTTCGTTCCTCTTACAAAGATTTCTCCCACTAATCGCCGCAGGAGCAATTCTTCCAAACGATCATGAAAAGATCGGGCCGAGATTATATCCACTTATATTATAACACTTTGCCGCAATACATGCCACTTACCGTACAATCTGACACAAACATTCCTAGCGAAATTTTTAACACTGCTGCCTAATGATTCATTTAACGGATACGAGATTTTTATAGAAAAATTCTAAATAAATACGCCACTTACATGTTGCTTTATACAGCGCGATTTATTTTATGTTATTCCCACAAGATAATTCTAAAATACATCGTAAATCCTGAGATTTTTCATTTGTCAATTAAATTTTAATATATTTTTATTAGCAAAAAAAAATTTGCCCTGAAAGTTTTTTATTTTAACTACATTTTTTATTAGGCAAAGATCAAAATTTCAATTTATGAAAGAATATATGCAAAATGTAACAATTCATTCTAAAATCCGCTATATATATTCGCCTATTATTATATATAATAAAATTAAATAATGAATTAGAAGTCGTCATTTATTATACACGCTAATAATAATTATTATTACTCTATAATTTTTATGCATAGTAGTGATAGATCTATATAAACTTTGAGAACTCTCAAAAATTTACGTAACGTAATATTGAAGGCCTTGCTATATTCGCATCATTATACTCTTGTTTACGGCTTATCGTTATCTACGCTTCCACTCCATAAGAAAATTAACCACATATTTCCGTAATTAATCTATGAGATAATATATTATCAGTTAGATTCGTGTTAAACATGAGAATATGAGTTGCGTAATAAGAGATTTGTGTGAGACACATATTTTTTTATGGATCCGAATTTATAAACAATAGTAAAAAATTAATCGAATTGGAAAAGGCGCGAAGGAAGTACTATCGAGATTCGAATGACTAGGTGAATGACCAAATGTTTCATAACGAAACTGCACTATCAAACGATAAATTGATTGAAATTGCCTAATTATTGGTGGCATTTCGGAGTCAGAGTCAGGTTCTTGAAAGATCATGCTAAGATCTTGAGACATCTCGTTCTCCTCCTTCGATCGGTGTATTGCATTATCAAACAGTTTTTTTTAAAACACCGCTCGTTAACTTGTATTTTTAAGCAGCTTTCAGGTGTACGATGCTGGTCGTCTAGTACATTTTTCTTACGAGATTAATGTGCGCGACAAAGTTTAAAGTTTCATCGTGTAAAACTTGCGTGTAATATATAACTGCGAGTCCGGCCATGCGGATGTTTCATCGATTAGGGTCAGTTTGAATAGATTGACAGATGTGTTTAATTAGCTGGCGGCGTAAACTTTGTGTTATTTTAATATTGGTGGAATCAATACTTGGCGTAGGATAAGGAAACAAAAACAAGTAGCTCCTCAAAAGTTTGATTTTTGATGATACTTTAAATATTTCCGGTCCACGTCAGATCGAGTGATTCATGCCGCGTTAAGAAAGTTTAGAAATAAACGACTCTCACAATTTCCGCACAATGGCGGAAACAGGGTTAAGGGACGAACAGCACGGAATACCATAGGCTATCGTTTTTCCTTGACTGTCAGTAAATCTAAAATAGATTGATCGCTTTATTGAGTCGAATATTTGTCAGACCTTGATATTGACGTGACTTATCAATAATAAGACTAAACACGTTTATCGAATAGAATCATTAAATAATGATTGTATTTTTAGAAATAAAAATAATATATATTTAACAAAGTTTTTTGATGATATTATATTTCCTTTATAAAAAGTTTGTCATTTATCATTAGTTCAATTATAATAGCAATATTTTTTTTAATATATCAAAATTAATGACAATCGTAAATTCTACATTTATTATTTGCCTATTTTTAGTGACATAGAAATATTCACAGAAAAGTGGAAGGGATATGCAAAAAAATTCGGAGAAATCCTTCGAACGCGTATGTAAATTAAACTTTCTGGCATGACATATACATATATGTACTAATGAAAAAATTTCCTACATTCTTCGTCGATTTAACTGTTAACCGGATATTTTGCGAAATATATATTCTGGGTTTAGCCATAATAGGCATTCTGTCTGTAGTTTGTCTGGGTTATATGGACTTGTTATGTGAACTTGTTCTGTTAATAAGTATTCTGTTTAAGATAACTTTTCTCCGTCTCTCCTTCCCCTTCTTCCCGCCAAAATATGCAAATTTTCTAAACGCATATATAAATGTAATTCTTAAAACTTTGGAAAGGGATATCGTAGTTGCAAAATACTTTAAAGAAGGATATCGCGGTTACAAATAAATTTTGCATTATTTTTGCTCAATGTGTATACATAATGTATTTATTTATTTAAGACTCTTTTTAATGAAAAAATACATATGAACTATAAATCGTTTAAAAAAATTTTTAGTAAGTTGCATATTCTATATTTATGTGTATAAATAATGGATAAAACGATATATTTATTACTGAAAGTGCTTAAAAAGAAACCGAATAACATAGTTCGTTATTTACAAATAGATTTATTACACATTAAAACATTTGTTTGAATTTATCTGGTAAATTTAAAAATATTATTTTATTTATGCTACTTGACTACTAAGTACATTTTTGAATGTTGAATTATACGTTTATGTATAAATACTAAGTTATCTGTCCCTCAGGTTGAAAATGTTATTATATATTTTAGACGATTACATTCTTCTCAAATATATATGAGAAACAATAAAATCATCGCGAATAATATATAATAATTAACGAATAACGTCAATTATTCGGACACCAATTATGCAAATATATATAAACAAAAGTGCTTAATTTCCATTAAAACACTATATTGTCATTATATCTAAATTATTTAGTATTTAATTTATGTTTTTCTTTAGCCAGAAATTTTATGCGGATAATAATATATATCGATAATAGATGCATTACTGTTTCATCCAATTTGTTCAATGTCTTATTGCATTGTATAAATATTTTCGTAAATCATGCTCGATTACTACGAATCTTACGCTATCTGGGCATAATTTCATCTTGCCTGCCGGTCATTTGGAAAAAGCGCGAATTAACGTTCGTAAAGATGTAGGGTGCACTTTCTGTAGGACAGAGTACTCTTTCCAGTATCTTAGGCAACCCGTTTTCCGTCTTGTTTCCGACCGGTTCCAACATATTATTCCATAAAAGATTGGCACCTGGAAATAAGAAGGAAGCAAATACTCAGAAAAACCGAAAATATTACATCATTATTTGCTTCATTTATTTTGCTATTTTCGTGTAAAAATGTACTGAATTTTTTATATTGATTCTCTTTAACTTTATTTATTTATTATTGTAACATGTAACAGGCCGATTTTCCGTGTCGCCTAATGAAGCGCAACCGTTTTAACGCTTCGGTGTTTTTTTTTATGTTGATAGGCGCAACTCAATCGATGACAGTAAATGACAATAGTAAATAGCATCATTAAAATTACATGCTGCTTGTGACATTTAGTTTAACAGAAAATTAATATTTTGCTTAAATAAAATTATTTGCTTAAAAGAGCAAAAGTAGAACAGTAAAAATTAATATATTTTTTACTATTAATATATCTCTTACCGAGTGCATGTCCTTTCTGACTAAAGTGGAAACAGTCGTATGTAACCAAAGTAGAATCGATGGGCGGTGCACGAATAGGATCTGCATTAGGTGCATTGAATAATTTAGTAAATGGTTGTAATACCACGGTAAAATCCGGGGATTTATCGTACCTATAAAGAAAAACAGAAAATATATTTACTAACTTTTTTTTGTGTATCGTAAATAAGTTTATGAATTTAACACATTGAACTTTCTTAGCACAGATATATCGAATATAATGAAAAATTTCTTTTAATAATAATAAACTCTGACAAAAGAAAAACAAAAAAACAATATGTTGTTGATAAAAATATATTTAATTGTACATTGAATGGTGTTGAGGATCTACCTTCCTGAGTCTATTAAAGTTTCGGCAGCCTGTTGATAGAGCCGTGACATGTTTGACGCCACAATTTCCGGCCGGTTACCCTCGTGCATACAGGCGCAATAAAGGGGATGCAATATCTTGCACATGGCACTTCGCTTTACTCTAATCGAAACCGTGACATCTGTAAAAAAAAAGAAAGAATACAGATAGATATAAATACATAAATGTAAAGCCTTTGTAAAAAATATATTATTATATAATTAACATGCGCTCTATAATTTTTGTTATATAGCATTTCAAAATCTGTTAGAAAAGGCATTCGAGTAATAGGTACATATTACAATAATATAATAATATTTTTTTGTTTATATTAGTATATAAAAAATTATTAATTAAATTTATTAACTTTTTTCTACTATTGTCAACTATTTGTATAAAATTACTAATTAATAAAAATAGCTCCCTGATATATAATCAACGCAAATGAGAACGGACTAATAAAAGCCAAAGCGCGGAAGTGCAACCGATTTCCGCATGTTGCCTCTTATTAGCCCGCTCCCATTTACATTAATTACTAATTAGATTTCATTTAATTAATCTACTCATTAAATTTTTATTAAATTATCACCTATGGCTGGAATCAGATTGACCAGGGTGCGAGGAAGCGCAATTCTTAAGTAATCAAGCGCTCTTCGTAAATGCAGGGCGTAACGCATTGGCGAGAATTGTTGCGGATTGTAACATTGCGCCGAGCAAATATCATTAGCTCCAAATAGGATTGTAATAAGCTGAAACATAAAAGGAACGATTTTGTTAGAATTAAACGAAAATTTTAATTGCGGTTATATTTCTCCTCACCGATTATCTCATGTTGCAATAAAGAATTACGAGACACACGGATTATTACCTTCCAGTGTTTCTTCATATTTATTTTTGGATCGCTCTTGATCCTCTGCACTAAGATTTTTGCTTGTTGTAATGCGTCTTCCGTAGCAGCCACTGGAAAAGCGATGTTTAGTTTTGCCAAGGTTGAATGAAACTCACCCGTGCCGGTAGAATATCCGGTTAACCTCGGATTGAATATCTGTCATTGCAATAATGAAGAACATCGCATTTTTATTATGAATGGAATCGAACACTGGATTGAACAGAATGAACATAATTTTTCACTCGCTCTATATGCGCGTGACGTGGCAGATCGATGAAACGTAAATATAAAGATACTTTAAAACGTTTCTGACACATCGTACCTTCAAAACGTTAGGAAGTGTGAGAAACTGTCTCCAATCGCCCTGACCTCCGGCACACCAGCTGACCCCGCGTGCCTCGATGAAGGTTCCTGTAGCAAACTCTTCCATGGCGCCGTTTCCGGCGACTAAGGAATCGCCAAGACCACCGACCACGTCGATGTCGCCTGGTCTCAATCGATGAACGTTATCTGGTATTGACAAGGATCTGCGCGAAAAATAATAAAAAAATATGAATTTTTGAAATTTATCCACCAATTTAGAACTCGCGGTATTTTCGCCATACATTAAACGCGATCATCTGCTGATATATAAATCATATTTATTGTCATCAAAAAATGCAAATGACTATAATTAGCTCCAAATTTATAATCAAAATACGAGCAAGTATCTATATAATGAGTATAATGAAAATAACGACTTCTATTATAATTGCCGAGAAAATTATATATATTTTATACGTGGTGTTATATAAAAGATTAATTATACCTGCCAGAACGCACGTTGCAAGGAAACGAAACGTTATCGGGGATTATTGGTTGTCTTCGTACGTCGCTGCGTAGCATAGGGTACGAAATTCCATTTGCATCAATTTTTTTCTGAAATTTGTACGATTTGAATGAATTACACGGACCTAGTTCTGTTCATTTTACGCACATACGAAGAATGTGCATATAAATTTCATCGTATTCGGTGTATCTAATACTTGTGTGCACATTAGTCACAATAATTCTGATGCGGCAAAATTATTTTAAAACAAAGTACAAGAATTATAGTACTATTTCGCATAATTCATTGTATTCTTTTATAAAATTTGCACAACTGTGCTATAAAATGATAATTTCTCCTTTGGAATATGACATTCTTTGATGCCACTCTTTAATGTCCAACTACAATATCTAATTACGCGAGATTTGTATCTTCATTGAAGTGACACTCATCGTCAAACACTCGTTTGAGTAATTTGAATTTGCGCAACTCGCAAGATATGATTTACAATTTAATTACCGTAACAGTAATGATAATTTCAATTCGAACAACAGTATAGGATTTTCTCGATGTATTTAAACATTTTTACATTAATTATTTTGTTATTAAAATAATATTAATTATTAAACTATATTCATTGAATTTTTTAATTTTGAAGAAAATACATGTAAAGACAATGAGGCAGTAACACCGGCATATATGCAAGAAAAAGTTTTGATAACAATTTCAACTTTATGCAGTCTTTGCTATCACGCGTAAATGATTGATATTGAAGTTTTTCCATAAAATTTTCAAAAAAGCGGAATCCTCTTGAAAATTTACAACGCAGGGTTGTTGAAATTTTATAAATATTTTTGAGAATATATGTAACATATTTTCGGCATTACATTAAATAAATCTATGTTACTGCTAATATACATAAGAATTATTTCTACAACCAATTGTGCAAATGTATCTCCGAAGTAGAACGAGACTTTTCACTTGTGGTCTTTTCTGACAGCGCATTTAAGCCGGTGTCGATTAGTGTGCTTAATATTCGACACATGTCCATACTCTTGCTTTCTTCGATTTGCATTCCAACGCGCATCGCGTCATGACTTAAATATTGGCACATATAAATAATTTGTCAGTCATGCCATCGAAATAAATGTCATATTTAGATATGTCTTAACTATATTTGTCGGACTTTCAAGACATTAGACCGCCAAATATTTTTTATTATCTGTATATATTTTATTACAATACCACAACGTATGTTTTCTTCACTTTTTAAAATAATAATTGAATAATTAAGAATATATATCAGTATTAAAACAGTATTAAATTTTGCATTTTACAAATTTTAAATGTGTATTTTATATGGAATTTTTATAAAATCATATAATGTGGCAATACAATTTTGGAAAAAACAATATTTAAAGAAAGACCAAAAATTTAGAAAATATTATTTACAAGGTTTATAATTTATAAAGATCCGAATATATTGAAACCTTGAACATATCTGATATGGCACAAGGCCTGCAGGTCAACAAAGCGGACAAAAAGAAATGTTCCGGCCTTTCTCCGATTGCGTGGAATGCAAAGTATTCTTCTTTTCGAAGTGCGTCGGCAGCTTCCGATTTCTAATATTGAGACTCGGCCCTTAACGTCATACTTAATTTTTTTCACTAATTTTAATAATATTAATAATAGCAAAAATTTATTATAAATTGGATTATAAATCACATTCTATAGAGAGCGCGTTAATGATTTTTCTATGCGTTTTATATTACTTTTATATTATTTCATGTTAGAATCAATGATAGAAAGAAAAAGAAAAAAAACTGTTTGACAGATAATATTATATTCAAATTTTGTTAGTCTCTGTAAATATTTTCGCAAATCGGATAAAAAATTACAAATCGTCCGGATAAAAGAATACCTGATTTTAACTCGCAAATCACGCGCGATTTCTCGTTTGGTACGCGAACGTATTTAGATGATCTCCTGCATACTAAAACATTTTCGGCAATTTTCATAATGTCTCTTGTCAGTCGGACAATTGAATTTGTGAACAATTACAAGCTTGGTAACTCTCACTTCCTTTATCTTCAACGGTTACATTGTGGTTACAACTTAAATTGCGGAAATTAACATTAGTAGGACAAGTTTCTTTTTTTGCATAGTTTTGCTTTATGAATTTTATGTATCCTTATTCAGTGCTTTTTTTCTTATTTATTTTATTTAAATAAGAAAATTATTTATTTAATTTAATTTATTATATATTTATGTATTTATTTATTTTACTTAATCCTTAAATTAATCTAGTTTTGGTAATTTAAAATTAGTTGAATACAAAAATTTCTCGAATCGTGCGTTGTTACATAAGAGATAAATATATATAACAGATAAATATTAATCAACATGAAATTTAGCTAATTCTTAATTTCGCGATTTTAGTACCAAAAACTTACCTTGCCTGCTTGAAGTATACTGTACAAGAAATCCATGAAGGGCATGCAATCGCTCGGATGAAAGCCAACGATGGCCAAACATAAGTAAATTACTTGAACTCTCATGATTCTCGAGAGTTATTAACGAGCGTTTCGAGATTAGCGACCGAAGAAATCTCTTTTCGATTTTCTTCAGACTTTTTTGTTCTTCAACTGCTAATCATTTTATGTTGAAAAATATCTTGTTCGGCCTTCGACTCGGTCGAACAAGACTTCCGGTCGCCATCGATTCGCTGCCTTAATAGCGAGCGTCTTTGACAAGTCTTTTGAGTCTTCGACTGGAGAGAACTGCAAACTTTGACGTATGTACAAGCCGTTATTTGCGCATGCATAGAATGAGAGAATCGTTTCGATAAAGCCGCGACCAGATTCTCGTTTATTTAACGACGGATACTCGCGATATAGAGAGTTGTTTAATCTTTCTCTGATCCTTCAAGTAATGGATAAGTTTTTAACCAATATCTTCATTCAAAAGTAAAGATGTAAAACTTACAGTCCCCGATTTTTTTTTTTAATATTACGTTACATATACGCAATTTTATATTTTATATCTGTATTTTCAAATAAAAATATATAGAAGCTGGCGTTAAACATTTCTGATTAAATTCTGAAGTGCAGGCAAAAAATTTTTCAAGTATTCTTCTTCGAAACTTGTTTAATTTCTTATTAATTTTATTTTAAATTTTGAAGAATGAAGAATGTGTGTGTGAATTTTTCATCTGCCATGTCACTTGTATCGATGTTAGAATCGGTTTGGAATAGCTATAGGAATCGTGGCACAGAATATACATATATACATATGTATAATTCGCAAATTAAAAAAAAATGCAGTTAGATTCAAGATAAGATACAAGAAATTTTTCTCTCCACTCATTTTGAAACATCTAAACACTAAACACATCACAATTGTTAATCTTTTTAAACTTTGTTAGCTTCGATATCTATGGTCTAGAGAAAGTAAATGTCTTTTTTAGGAACTCCGGTTATATCAAGTTTGACCTTACACAATGATGCTTTTCGATTAAAAATGATATTAAACGTATATTATATATTTTAGTTTGTCTTATTTCAAATTACGTCTATAATTATATAACGATACAATGATTCTTCTTTTCATAAGAAGCCACTATGATTTCGTTTAATTTCTCAAGAATGTAGACGACCGGAACAACGAACAACGTTTTTCCATAATTTTGCAAGGATATAAAAAATGAAAAAATCGACAAAGGCTTTGAAAGTGTCACTTTATAGAATCTCCTTTGAAAAAATGAAAGACGCGCTTTCGCTAATGTCTAAGTTCGCGTACTAGTCCCGCTGGGTATTTTCATAAATCACTTTTCATATCTTTAGAAAATGCAATTTGTGTATGCGAAAAAGTAGAAACGATATTATTAGAATATCCATTCATATATGAATACATTAGCGTGAATGTATGAACAGCTTTTTAACGCGTGCGTTAGCATAAAGAAGAAATACTATATATATAAAATAAACTCTATGAATATTTTTTCTTGGATTAAATTGAAAAATATGCTATAAAGTTAATTAAATATTTTTTGTGCAAATTTTGTATCTTGTATAAATTTAATTTATGAAAATTATATGATTTAAAGTGGTTATACATATATACATATATGTACCTTATCATCCGGTGATCTGTTATCCCGCATCATTACAATTAAGGAATTGTTTAAGCATCACGAAATTTGTTATTAAAAATTTGAATATTTTTCATTGTAATTAGATGTCTTTCCTCACTGTATGTAAAACAACTTTTACATTTGACATCTACATCTGATTCTAAGATTAGCTTTTCCGAATCATGAATATTTTCATCATGACAACACCTTCAAGTCGAAAGCTGCGTGACTAATTTCCTTTCTTTCGCCGTAAAAATCGTTATTTTCTTACGCAAAAACATTCAACAAACTGTCAAATAATTGTTTAAGCACCAAACTCTGTTGCGCAAAATTATAATTCTAATAAATTAATAAGTCTTCTCGCGAGAATATTGGGAAACTTCAAGTGTCAGTTACGCGAAGAAAGCCGATTCTCTTCAACAGTATTACCGGATGACACCACTAAACATGAATGAAGCGGGTCGAAGAAAGACTCTCATGCCCATCGATGTGACCCCCACCTTTGAACATATTGACGGTTCCCCTGCATTCTTTCGTAACCCTATACGATAGTAGACAGAAGCATACATAAGTGACGAGACACTAGATGGCCGGTGTTACAATAAATCGCCTTCCTTCTTGTATTAATATACGCTTACATCACTTTATGTACATGTAGACACGTTATACTTTTTTGAATGTTTATTGACAAATTCTCTTTTTTACATGGAACAGCTTCTCTGAAATTACAATTAAACGTCATTAACATCAGGGATTGAATACCAAAATAATTTCTTTACCAATTGTATACTGGTATCATGTTCAACTTTATTCTTATAAAACGGCAAAGAAAAAAATTTTTAATTACATTGATAGTAGATGTCAAATATCGGTATACAAAATCGAATATCTGATATTTATACCAATCGAATTTTTCTTTTATTGCTGTTATTGTATAAAACCGAGAGATATTGATATCTTATACGCCGATTTTAATCTTAATTTTAATTAATCTTTAATCTTAATTAATATAAGCGATTTCAATCCCTGATTCACACATCTTGCAGTTTGCAACGTAATCGTAAATACATGAAGTGCAACTAAATAGAACATACATTAAATCTAAAGAAAACAATAGACATAATACAATTATATGTGTAACTTAACATTGTGTAATCCTTTATAGCACGAAATAATAATTGGAATAATTTTGTATGGAACAGAGTTTTCCATTTATATATATTTGCTCTCTTTATAAAGGATAAATAAACACATTATAGCAGCTTTGACTAAACTTAAATAATTATGGTACTGCGACTACGTTTAAAAAAAATCACGGTATCATATTATATAACTGCTTGATTCATGACCTAATAACGCGATCGATACTTTCTCCTTTGTCAAGTATCAATATTTCTTACACACGAGTAACAATCAGTTTTGCTAGAGATTTTGTCTTTTTTTTAAATTGGATCATATATATAATAAAAATAGACCGAGCAATAATGACGTAGTTCTAAGAATAAGTAAAAAGAAAGGGAAAATGTAACTAGAGGCTCTGTCTCTTTCTAATGAAAGAAAGTAGCAGAGAACTGAATGCAAATGTACGCTAAAAATGCATACGCATGCACACATATACAAGCGCGAATGATAGAAAGAAGGCATTACTAGATATATTTTCTCTTCTTTTTTTACTTAAATCTTATACCAAAATAATGCAAAGAAAATATGCTCAGTCTATTTATATACTATATTTAACCATACACGCCTGAATTTGCATTTGTAGCCAGATAGGGTCTTTCTTCTGTTGGACATAGGAACGTCTTCCAAAGCGGTTCCCAGGTCTCCGACTTATGACCTACTGGTTGCAACAAATTGTTCCATAGACCATTTGCATCTGCGAAAATATGCAAACAAAATATTTTTAATGCATTTAATTTTTCAATATTGAATTAAAATTTTGTTTGAGTTTTATTTGATGATAATTTCGACTATCTGTCCTATATTAATAGGACTATTATAGTGAATTGTCAAACTGATTATAATACTCGTAATCATAATGATTATTATTGCACTTGAAATTATTGCAACATTATGCTAATTAGCAAGCTTCAGTAGAAAAAAATTAAATTAAAGGGATTTTAAATACAGAAGGTTAGTTGAAATGAAGATTAAAGAAAGTTATTTATAACTTAGCGATATTTCTTGTTAGAGAAAAGTGAACTTACATAGAGCATTAGTTATTTGCCTAAAGTGAAGACAATCGACGCTTAAATATTTATGCACAGGAACAATTCCATCCTTATTTTTTGGTAACATTGAATGCCTTAAAATAGGTTCAGCTACGACTGCGAAATCCTCACTCTGCCATTCTGGCATCAAAGAGATTTCAATCTCTGCTTGTGACCACCTAAAATATTTGTTGCAATTTTTACTCAATTTCTACATTTGGTTTTCAATAATATTGCTAATAATACTTTTATATGTCAGGGTTAGAACTACTTTATTATGCTGTTATCAAATATTTCTATGTAATATAATGTATATTTAAAATCACGTTAAGTCGTGTTACATCAAAAATAATAATTCGCTAAGAATAATGTGGTGAGCTCACCTTTCTATTATTTCAAAATAATATTCTCTGTGGGGTCTAAATGAAAAGCCAAACATACAAGGGCACTCGAAACCCATTGTGAGAGAACAGTTTATTTCCGGGTTTCCTATTTGAGCTTCAATCAAAACCTTTGAGCTTATAGGCGCAATTATAGCCACAAAAGTTTTCGGCAAGTTTTTCTTCAGTATCCGTAAAGTTTCGATTACATTTGCTTTATGATCTTCTATAACCTTTTCGGCTGTTGGTTCATAGCATATGTTAGCACAAAAGTCGTTGATTCCAATATTCATCGAGACAAACTGTAAATAAAGTATGTTGTTATCAATATTTAATTGCCAGAATAAAATATTTTTTATGATTAAGTACGCAGAATCTCGTTGAGGACGAAATGATACTTCGTAAATATAGCATATTAACGGAAGTAAAAATCACAAAATTATTGGAGATGATAATGGAAATCTTTCATTAAGTTTTTTATGCGACAGAAATCGATTTAAAGCTATTGTAAAAAAAGCTCCTGTAATTATTTACAATTAAATCAATTACAAATGATAAAACACGTTCAAACAGTAACGGCTACTCATTATTCCACTCTCAATGTTCGTGTTTGTAACAAATTAATCCAGTCGAGTAACGTACCTTCCAAGCTTTGTCCCAAGTCGTACCCACCATTGGATAACTTTTAATTCTCTCGACTAATACCTGCGCATCATAAGGCAAATCCACAGACATAGAACCGATTTCAGCGACATTTAATTCCGATGCTTCCATAGTTGTCAAAGAATCTCCCACTGAATATCCTACTACATCGGGGTTGAATTCCTAATATATATAAAATTTCTATATGACTTATTTGCATCGTTAAATTAGTCATTAGATATTTCTCAGGAAGTAACATCGATTCAATAGAACATCACAAGTAATTTTTTTGATAAATTTTTCCAATCATTGTTCATAGAAAAGATCAAAAACCTTAATTTTGATTATAAATTCTTCTTCTGAGAATAAAATGAGTAAAAAAAATTAATTGAAAAGTAAAAATATTTTGTTTACACAGATCTTATTAACTAGATATTATTACGTCTTTATTTTAATCTAGTAATGCGATTATTATTTATTATCACACATATCAAAGCTATTTAGGATTAGGAATTATAATAGTAGAGTTTATTGGTCGTAAATGTTCAAGTTTTTATTGCGACAGCAGCCGCCATAGCAATCACAAGAATATTGATCGTCTTAAAAGTCTACCTTGATAATGTTGGGAACAGTTAGCCACTTTCTCCAATTGCCTTCGCCTCCGCCGGCCGCGGTAACTCCTCTGTTGCTTACGAAGAGTGCTATGAAACACCTTGCGAAAACGGCGGCTCCGGATGTAAGGGAATCACCCAGTGTGCCAATCAGTTGGATATCACCCGGTTTTAATCTGTTCACCGAAGTTGGTGGTTCTTTCGATCGACCAACTAAAATTTATCATGAATCATGTAGCATTCCATAAAGAAAATACATAATGTGTTTCTCTTCCATATTGCATAGTACATATTTTATTCGATTAATTTCGAATCAACATTTTTTTCATCAAAAACTTCTATACGCATTCGTAGTTTTAAAATAATTAACTATTAAAACAAAAACATATTTTCAGTTGATTTTAAGAAAGAAAGAGAGAGAGAGAAAAAGTGAATCTTACTTTAATAGATTAAAAAATTCTAAGATTTAAAGTTATAAAGATATTTTTTTAAGATCCAAGTAGATGCCAAATTCAGCCATTTTGCCCTGATATTTTTCTAGCTTACGCTTCTTTAGGGAGGTGCTTTAAGAAGAATATTAAAAATGAATTTCAAACTCGAGATTATTTAAGCAGTTGGTATTGCATCAAGTAAAATTTATTTCCTGTGCACAACTATTTAGTTGCAAGAGAAAATTAATTTTTTTACTACCATTTGCAGCCCAACTATCATTTTAAGAGCCCGAGGAATTTAAATTGTGTTTTTCACAATTGAGAGAGTCGAATCAATTTCTTTACTTAGTATTATAAAGATATATTGCAATTATAAAAAAAAATTTGCCGCTGTTTTAAGCAGCTTTAACAGTTAGAAAAGAAAAGCTTATCTTGAAACGTCAAATTTTGAAATTTTCAATGAAAATGTTATTTGTCACAAAGAATATATTTAGGGCAATGAAATGAAGATGGCTGAAATAGATGAAGATGATAAAAACAGTTATGAAAAAGTGATGCTATATGAATAACTATTGGTAAAGGTAATAAAATGCTAATAAATAAATATCTCACTTGAAACATTGCAAGGAAACGGAACACTGTCGGGAACGGGTTCCTGCGTTGTTCCTACCGGTGGTCCTAGCCATCTTTCTATCGGTTCTGAAAATTAACAAATTGGACATATTACAATTTATTATAAAAATAATATAATTTTAAATTATACATCTAGTTACAATAGCGCAAACAATAAAATAATAAAAAAAAAAATAAAGATTGTTCACATTGCACATAAATAGGCAGGAAAAAATAGATAATTATTTAATAAATCAAATAAAGCTGCTATTACTAAGTAATGATAAAGTACGAAATAATGCACGATTCTCTAAACGTAATTCGATACGTGCGTCGAATTATCGGGCAGGATAATGAATTATTCAGAAGAGCAGTTATAGTGCAGGAAGAAGGTTCGCGAAGACGCGAGTTACATTCATTTGCCGCGCATGCCGAAAAGAAACTACTTCCTTTAAACTATCTTAGATAACGTATATATATATATATATATATCAATATATATATGAATGTATTTTTTTATCAAAGTTAACACGTTTAATCAATGTTTGTTCATAAATTACGTTAAATGAAAAACACTTTGTCGTTAAGACCGTACATACCCGTTACAAATTGTGATTAATCTATATTTTTGCAATTCCATCAGAAATTCAAAAGTTTATACCGCGCATTTACTTATAAACGCGATATTTGAAATACTTTAATATTTATGTAATTCATGCTATTCAATAAGCTTGTATTGACTGATGATACCATAGTATTCTTAAATCAAACTAGATATCAATTAATATCTGTTCGAAGATTTTTCAAGACTGTGTTGAGATTTGAATATGTACAAATATTTATTGTAGATATCAAAATGTTCTTATATCATATAACTTTTATCATACATACAGTAAATTAATATAAAATTAAAATTAAAATAACATTGAGTGATATCAATTGAATTGGCAAGGATCGGAAAAAAATTATCAAAAATGAATAAATTTTGTAATTAGCTCACAATTGTATAACTTTGCACACGAAGTCGTAAAGTCGTTAATACCCGTTCGTGAATACGACCGAGAATCGGAAAATTATCACAAATGAATAAATTTTATAACTTCACGATTTGATAATTTTGCATACGTGGTTGTAAATGCACATCAATCGAATACGACCAAAAAAATTATCAAAAATAAATAAATTTTATAACGTTCACGATTTGATATCTTTGCGCATAAAGTCGTAAATGTACATCCATCAAATGCGATTGACTTAGCATTTAAAAATTATCAGAAATAAATAAATTTTATAACTAGCTCACGATTTTATCACTTTGATATTCATCGAATGCGACCGAGGTACAGTCGAAAAATTATCAAAAATGAATAAATTTTATAACTAGCTCACGATTTTATAATTGTGAAAAATCATAAACACATATTCATCGAATGAATTAGAATCGAGAGAAGATTGTCAAAAATAAAGAAATTTTATAATTTAGCTCACAATTTTTTATAATTTCATATACGAAGTCCCACATCCATTTATCGAATTAAAATAGATACAAAAATATGAGATTTAACATTATATGAAAATATATAAAAGATTTACATTCTCCATTTTCTATGATATATGGCAAATTTTAAAATTTTACATGCACAAATTATCTTAATATAAAATTAAATTAAAAATACTAAATATTACATGTTTTGAACATTTTTACTTGAAAATAATGCCGAATAAAATGTGCCTATTATATTAAAATAAAAATTGACAGATGCAAATTTCAGGACGGTAATAAAATCTTATTGTTAGTAATAGATCCGTATATTTTTGAAAAAACTTGGAAAAAAAAGAATTAAGAATGTGAGCTTTTCCCCTCATAATCTTTCATACTACAGACTACACATACATACCATAATAGTCCTCAACCCAATGACGGAGGCCGGCAAATATCTCGTCGTTAAAGGGAGTATCCAGTGCAGTCTTAACGGGCTGACTTGACGCTCTCCAACACAACTGCAGTAGCAGAATGCAGTAGAGCCATTTCCACATTGTTTTTTAAGATGATAGAATCGATGACAAGAAAATTGAAATTTGGAGACGGGTCGGCAATACTGTGAACTGTTTGGTAATGGAAGCGTGTTGCACTGTCCGAAATGGAAGTATCGAATGATCCATCGCACAGCCCAACTTGCGAAGAAAACTCAAATGCAATACAGAAATCGCAACCTTGATCAGAAACAAGGCCATCTCCGTTTTGCGTCCCGCTACGGAAAACAATAAACCGTGATTGCTTCATGATGGTAGGAAACAACGCGATGAAGGCGAATATCTTATCTTTTTTACCACCCCATTTTAATATTATTTTTTTAATATTCTTAAAAATTGCATAAAAAATAGTTTATGTCGTTCAACATTTGTCCTTCAATCCAGCAGCCATTTGACAATCGTGTCTTAAGTCACGCGCGGCAAAAATAGCAAGGCTGATCATATATCCGTACTGTAAATGTTTTACTATTTGAAGACAAATATCTATAATTTAAAAAAAATGGAATCAGATTTTTATTCTTTAAGGTACGAGAAAAAATAATAAAAAAATACAATGAGACTCTGAATCCTAGATGCATCTAGTTACAGCGTATCATTTAGCGGATGCAACTGGACAGATAATAACATCACTCTAATAAAAAAAATATTTAAAGAATAAAAAATATATAACTATCTTATAATGTATAACTATCTAATAATGTATAACATCTCAATATTGACATAATTATCTTTTACTCAAATATCAATTGCAATTCTATCGGCTTAAATAATCTATTGTGAGATCAAGATTCGTCTGTATATCTGTTGAATTACTTATTGTTACGTGTACCGATTTTATTGAAAAAAGATACAAAAATAGATATAAAATCAATATAAAAAGAAATTGAACTTTAACATAAAATAAAATCAAAAGTTAAGTATAAAGTTATTTAAATTTAAATAAGTAAAAAATAATGTGCATAAATAAAAATTGAATTATAAAAATAAAATATGAAAAAAGATTGATATTATAATACTAATATTATTGTTATTATTATAAGTAAATAATTAGTATATTACAGTTTTGTTGTTGTTGCTATACTTTCTTTAATGTATGTAAAATATAAATATAGATATTTTAAATTTAATCATAATTAATTTCTTTCTTGTTCTTTCTCTAGTACTTGTTTGTGAAATATTGATCATTCAAGTTTGCCTCTCTCACTGATCGATAATTCAATTAGCTCTTATTTAATCAAATGATTCTTACTGAATCGGATGATTCTCAATGATTCATACTGATTAATCGAGGATCCACGTATCAAACAAAATGTGCGTATCAGTTATCTTCTGCTGCATTTCTCCTGCACATGTATAAGTCGCTTAATCGACTTGCCGCAAGTATGCGACAGTCACAAAACTGATGGTAATATCGATATTATGATGCTGGATATTGTATTGTATTATCACGAACAAGAAAATTGTGACTGATCATAGCAGGAGTTCGACTACTGCTACTAACAACGCCTATTTTACCATCAGACGTTTCGGATACATTTTTTGAAGCGTCTAAAATAATTTAATGACGGACAAGGGGTTCTAGACATTATACATATTACAAAAAATAATTTTCAATTGTGTTTAACATGTTAAAATCAGACAACGTATTTTTACTGTTTTATAATTATATATACATATATATGTATATTATACATACATAAATGACTAAATATTATTCTCCTTGAAAAATATATACATGTACATATTTTAGTCTGCCTTTATCGCATAGTTCGAACAAAATTTTTACTTTGTTCACATTGACATATATATATGTATCTTTTCATGTATTTTTCAAGGGGAATAATATTTAACCATTTATGTATATGTATATTTATGTATATATATGTATATATTTATATGTATGCAAGTCTATGGTACGTAATATATATATATATCCATACATAAATGTTAAACATCCTCTGGATGTTCTCTGGACGTCTTTTGGATATGTGTGTTGTTAGGGTATTGTCGGCAATTTTAATTACACTTAGCTTAGATGAAGGCGCTAACTCGTCAGAGTTCAACCGTAGCTTTTGGATCTCTTTAATGACGGACAAAGGGTTCTAAACATTAATAAAACTGACACTAGTGAAATTGATTGTTATATTGCTAATGATTGCAAATGGATTAATAAGATTGAATTTTGTTAATTAAACTCTTGCGTATAAAGAGTGCATAATTACTCTAATAATTATCTTTTAAATTTTTTTTCTATTTCATCAAATATTATCCGAAAAATTATGTTTGGTTTAAATTTTGCATTTACTATAAGCAAAGTATTGCGCATGAAAGATAAATAGGAAATGACTCTACATATCATTAGCATATATATTTCTATGATATCTTGAGGAAAAAGGACAAATATACATTCTATTGTGTAAGCAATAACTTTCGATTTCGCTTTTTCTTTCTTTAATTCGTGGCCGATAACATTTAATGTCAATTATTTAATGTTTAATATATCTGATCATTTTTGCGGAACGAGTGTTACCTTAAAGATTATTATACTGTTATTTCAAAGCTTGTTTAATAATAATTTTCCAAGTGAAAAAATGTCTAATAAGCTCGAAAAAAAAGAATCGATTTATAATTAACATAAATAAGAAGTTATTCGGCCCCTCATTTGACTTTAATAGGCTCGATATCAGATTTTGCACAATATAAGTCCTTTTATTTATAATAACTTTATAAAAACAGCGATTATAAAATACATAATTATTTGAATAAAAATTCTGTTAATGTAATGTTTGCATTTTAATAACTAATAATAAGAATAATGTCACATTTATTTACGCCTTTAAAGCTTTATTTAAAAAAAAAAAACCATTTTGTATGTTTTTAGTGGCTCACAGCTGGAATACGACTAAATTCGAACCGATTTGAAATAAGCAGAATATCTCAACAAAGGATTAATGCATCTCTCGCATGGTCTTTATCGAAATTCTTCTTCCTGCGCAGTACCCGAATTCTCATAGTCAGCCGAGGATGCTTTGAGAGTGAGAAGGGCATGCTTCAACATTTAGGAGACTTCTATTTTCAGCAGCTGTGCGCCTCTTTTGTCGGGCATCGATCGTCGGTTTTTTCCATGTAAGTAAGACATATATAAGGAGTTGAAACCGTAGGATCTGAGTTAGAAGAGGCAGAGAATGAGAGAAAGGGGAAAAGGGAGAGTAGAGAATCTCTCTCGGAGGGGGCTGGTGGAAGACGAGGGTTTGTCAGAGGTCAAGGTTGAAACGAGTGAGCTCTTCCCTCTCTTCTCTTTTCCTCTCGTTATCTCTCTTTCTCGTTTTCTCTCCCAATCCCACCACTTTTCTCTTTCCGATTTTTTTTTCTTTCTCTGGATCGAAAACGCAAATTTCCAGTACTGTTTTCTAAACAGATGTCCAGAGTCATTGACCGAAAACGTTAATTTTGGTTTAATATAAATGTGATTTTATGTGATACAAAAGCGTGACATGTTTTAAATATGTAATAGTTATATCTAAAGTGATATGTATGATTACTCCCCCCATGTTTATCTTGTATATATTTAAACAAATAAATAAATAAATTTAAACAAAAAAAGAAAGAAATAGACGGTTATTTAAATTAACTCAATCGTAGCGTTGTAGCGTAAAGTTGTATAGGAATCAAATAGTTGAAAACAACATTTGCAATCATATTGTTATTAACAATTCTTTTTGTTAAGAATTTTCTCTCAGCAATCATATTTTTGAGCATTATAATGAATGACAATTATTACGATTATATAAAGAAACGATCGCAGTCAGTGACCACCGGAGTTGCTCTTCCCGGCTTATCTTCTCGAAATTCTATTCCGCAGATAATGAATCAGCGATATCAAAACTCGTTAGTATACAGTAGTAGAGTAGAGTTCTTATTACTATCTCGAAATTCAGCAGTCTTACATATAATCACGTTTTGTATCTTAATTCTGTTAGAATCTCTCTCTCTCTCTCTCTCTGTTAGACTTCTGACAAATTTTTAAAACATCTTATATAATTTAGATATTTTAGCACAATATATTATAAAACAACATAAAATATACACCAATACACATTATTAACAATATTACATATTATTAGAGTAAAGATATTAATTTAATAGATTTGAATAGTTTTTGTTACCCATAGATTATATGCAATTCTATTTTAAAAATTGTGAATGTATGATAAAAACAGATATATCTCACTTCATTGACGTAAGCCTACAATTTTACTTTTCAAATTTTCTTATCGTTAAAGGAGTTAATCAGAATAACAAAACGCATTGTTTGATTTGTGTAGTTTGGATCAAAATGAAAAAGAGATAACTTTATATATTCTTTACGTTCCAGCATTCTACAATAATACTATCTCCTAATAGAATCTGTTTCTCTCTATTCAGATGTGGAAAAATTCCTATATATGCCGAATATGCGTAAGAATTATATAAAAGCCACGTGTGCTGGTTGAATTATATAACGTTACTCGTTTATCCCTCAAAATGTACAGCTAAACGAAATACGATTCGTTGCACATGAATCGCATAACGCAATCTTATGAGAAAATCGTCGACACGTGTCGTTCATATGATAGATAATGACAGACATTCCCATAACGATGACTAATTGTTATAAATGTAATGTAACTATTGCAACATATTATATTGCTTAATTATTGATGACATTACACTATAAAATCTCTTGTAAATATATAAATAATATAAAAGTATGCTACGTATAAGATAAGATAATAATTTATATTCGTGGAAATTATGATTATAAAAATGATTATTTATTAATGATAATAGAAAGCATGATTTGCAAAATAGATATCAATTGTTTTAAATCGTAATAAATCATGAAAGGAGATGATTTACAGATTTTTCGTTGCCGAAGAATTCTATCGAGATCTTGTCGACCACTGACAAGCGAGAGGTCAAGATCGAATTTATTCAGAATTGCAAAGATATCTTCTATAAATAACAATTAGATTCACGAACTCATATTATCGAAAAATTATGCGTATCTTTAAAGCTGATAACAACAACAATAGGACAAATAAGATGCTTCTTTAGATTTTTTAAACTTGTGTATTACCCTTAACTTATCGAATGATTTGCAGAATTAAACACTAGCTGAGATAATAATATTCGTTGAATGAGAATGAGCGGCTTATCGCGCTGATTTTTCGTCTATTCTCGTCATTTCGCTCATCCTCATTTGCAAAGATTCGCAATATTATAAA